TGGTACCCCCAGGTGCTGACAGTCAGGTACCTGATTGGTACCTCATTGGAGGCAATCTCAATGCAGACATATCGAGATGGAATTCTGCAACCAGTGGCAATCCCATATCTCCACAGTCTGGGACCTAACCTCCAAGATGACAACGCTTGCCCCACAGAGCAGGGTTTATCAGAGACTACCTCCAGAATTTGGGAGTGGAGAGGATGGTATGGCCTGCCAGCAGTCCTGACCTCAACCCCATTGAACACTTGTGGGATCAGCTTGGGCATGCTGTTTGTGCCAGAGTGACCAACACAACCACACTGGCTGACTTGCAGGTTGACAAATGCTGGTTGAAGAATGGGATGCCATCCCACAGCAGTGTGTGACCAGGCTGGTGACCAGCATGAGGAGGAGGTGCCAGGCTGTTGTGGCTGCGTATTGTTCTTCCACGCGCTAGTGAGGCTCCTGTTTGTTAAATTAATAAATTGTTAAATTGCCAATACGTCTTGTTTCTTCAGACATCAATCATCCAATCCACCAAACAAGAGTCAACAGCAAAAAAAGCGGTTTGGCATTGGCAGAGAAAATTTAGCAAATCTCTCATGGGCGCAACCCACATACTCAGCTCTGCTGCTCATCCCACAAATGCATGTTCCTTAAAAATGTGGCACCATTTAAAAGGGAAATAAACAGGCTTTCCAACGGTATAAGATTTATTGCCAAGAAGCATTGTTACAACAAAGAAATAATCTACCAAACACAAATTTCCTTACCTTTTGTGCTTAGTTCATTTCATGGCGCTCATATGTACACTATATCTCTCCCAAAATGAACAGTTTCTAAATCATGAAAAAATCTGAACAGCAAGGGAAATTATTTTGCTTCTCATGATTTAAATTTTGTTGTATAAACTGCTGTTGATAAAATAAAATACAATAAAAACAGTAGGAACAAATAAGTTTGAGGCTGAGTGCAACAGACAAAATGAAGTTATATACATTGTTGGTTTCTGTCTTTACATAGTCTTTGTTGAATGTAAGACAAAATGTAAAATAACACTGCCCTTATCCTTTAATATCTTAATATTTGAAGAGGTAGCAAAATTTTGGAACAACACATCACGTATAAAAACCTGTGGAATGAACATTAATAAATGTTAAATACTACGGTTAAATGTCATTGTTTAGAAATATGTTTCCACCATTTCAACTACAAACACACAGAATCATTAATCTGCATTTTCATTCAGTGCTGTTAGTAAAACGACAGACTAGTCTTCACACAGGCAGCATAAAGCTCTTTTAAACATCCATTATCAAGAGAGGCAATATGAATTTGAAATGTGTTTTTAATAGAAAACATTTTAAAAATCACAAGTTGCTTGCATGAAATTAGAAATTCAAATTAATCTCTCTGCTACAGTCACATCCAAATGGCAGAGTGTTGGATTATGCCGCCTGTTAGTGAAACTGAGTGTGTTCAGACATGTTCTAAACTTTCAAGTTTGAGCTCATGCCTGTTGTAACCCTCACTCTCTGTCAGGAGTTATTAGACAGTCACACTGACAGAAGTGCATGCAGGTGGAAATCCACAGCACGCAGAACTGGAAACCCATGCTGACTGACTGACTGACTGCACCAGTCTCGTAGTTACCATATGCCTGGACGGACTCTATGCTCGTTACAAGACCTCCTCATTTGGCAAACTTCCCCAGTCTTCACTCTGGCTCTATAAATACAGGGTACACGTGGATTGGCACTCTTGAGGTTTCCACCCTGTTTCTTCCAAAGTGACAGTATCATCTAAAAGGTTTCAGACAGCTCCTCACTTCATAACTGCTCACACTCAGAAGGAAAACGCCGACATTAGGAACTTACCATAAGCCTTTTAGGATCACAGTACAGTATGTTCTCTACAGTCGAGCTACCTGATGGTGCTGCTGACTGTAAATCAATGAGCAGCGCTGCAGTTTGTCCTCAGGGATTAAAGACTTGGCCGGGCTGCAGCTGCCTCACAGCTAATGGTTGTGGGCCACGGTTGGATTTCCTAATGCTTATTCATTTCATTACTAACTTCAGGACAATTTGTATTCCAAGTTTGTTCGATAACATTTTAAAGTCAGCTGAGTTTGTAAACTTTGGTGTCCTCATGCTTTGCCGTGACCTGGTCTTCTCTTTAATACAGGATGTGCATGTAGCAACATGACAAAGATGATGAATGAAGATGGATCTATCACACAGCAAGAAATGACAAAGGCAAAATACGACTTTTAAGTCCGACATGTACACAAACGGCCAGGCCTTGAGATTTAGTTATTGTAAAAATAAACTCTCTGATGCTATAGAGAGAGGAATGGCATTTTTTGTAGGCTGAGCCAGAGGTTAATATCACCCTGGCTCCCTCGACAAAAAGCCAACAGGATTCTTCCATTGGATTTTGCATTATTACAGAAAATAAGCTCTGTGGGAAACACATACATGTTTTGTTCAGAAAGATAATTTTGAAATGAACACAACTTTTATGATTCCTTTTTAAGTGTTAATGAAATAACCACAAGTAAAAAGCTAACATTAGGCTACAAACAAACTACACCATGGTCACATGACTGACAACCTCAACAGAGCTGTAAAGCCGTGTTCGGTGTGATGACACTCTGTTTTCTCGTTTAGCCACATGGTAGCAACTGCCTTTTTTTAAGACACATAAAAACTTAAAAGTCAACAAGTGGGGTAATTACAGATGTATTTTATGTAGCAGAACAAAACATGCAAGTCTCTTAAGCTTGTATTATCCACAGACTTTATTTCAGACATCTAAACAAAAACCCACTGACTTCAAGCCGAAAAAACCAGGAGTGCAGAAATACTACTTAATCTCCAGGTTTAAGGACTCGTTCCTGCACCACTCTATAGTAATAATAATATTAAATATTTATGTGATGTCATATTTTCAACAATATACCAGTAAAAAAGTGAAATGCACCACCACATAAAGATATATATAGCCAAAAGCTTTTTTTAAAGGTTGAATTTATCCTTAAATGTGGTGACAGAGACGTGTGAGGCCACTATGTTTGAATCGTTGTTGTTTTATTGTGAAATTTTGTATCATATGTTGTATTTGTTGCATTTCAATGTGTTTTCATTGGCTGCTACCTCAGCCAGGTCTCTCTTGTAAATGAGAGACCTTGTAAATTTCAATCTCAAATGGACTCCCTGGTTGAATTAAGGTTAAATAAATAGAAAAATACATTCATGTAAAGTTGACTAAAGCCTGTCTGATACATGAACAGCCTATCATCGGTCAGTGATGGCTCATCTCAGTGCAACTGAATTAGATAATGTGCACAATTATTTAACTTGAGGTACATTTGATCAACTGTTTTCTTATTTCTAGGGCTGGGTATCGTTTCAAAAGTTACAATTACCCTTAAAATGATGCCGATACCAATGGAGTACTTTGGCGCCTATAATGTGAAAGGAGTGGTGTGTAGTGTCGCCATAATTTAAAACGTTTTGGTGGCATCTCAGCATGCTGAACTGCCAGCTCTGTCAAATACACCACACCACAACGACTTAAGCAACAAAGCGGAGCTGCTTTGATGTCGGTGTGACTTTGTTGGGATTGTTTAACGGCTCAGTGTTGCATGTTAGCCACTGCTGTGTTAGCACATGCTAACCAGGCATACTGTATGTTGAACAGACTGACTGAGGAGAGCGGCTCCGGAGAAAGCAGCAACAGAAAGTTTGCTGATCTGCTGGGGAGTCGGCACATTCCAGGATCAGACCCAAGCATAAAAAGAATTGAATGCAGGTATCGTTTGACTGGAGACTTTTTGATGCTACTTGGTACTGTGTTATTTCGGTCAATATCTTGAAGGTATCCTGTACAGACACTTAGCCCTACTTAATTTGAGTTTATTCTGCAGCACACGTTACTTGTGCTGGTTATTTTAAAAACTGCAGAATATCCTGCTTTAGTGACATTTTAAAAATCACAAATGGCCAACTTTAAGGAATGTTTGTATTGGTCATTCAGCATTGGTCATTCTCTACAGTTTACATAACCTCCACTCTCCATTGGATGTTAATGGTTTGCCAGCAGTGACCGATTTTGATTCCCAGAGCTCATTAGCGGCGGCCTTTTGGCTTGCTAACTGACTAAATGTTGAGCAAACAAATCCAGTAAACCCGTCAGCCTGCACACACTGACGAGGTCGATACCAGACTACTGCATGACGCCAAATACTGAGTGCATTTTGCCTAATTCAGGTTCATGTTCAGCTTTTGGTTTTGATAAAGGAGTGTCTTGTGTGCTGGAGCTGAAACAGCTGTGGTGTTTGTTGGTTTGCTGCTCAGTTTGTCTCCGGCCAGAATCCTAATTGCAGTGACACTGTGGTTTTGTTACTGTAATTATGCTGCCTCTATATGAAATGCTAATCTGGGCCAGAAGTGTTTGTGTGTGGTCTCAGCAGGGCAGACAATGAGGCTTTGTTTCAGGGCTGCAACCTGAGCTCTACTCACTTCAACCATCAGATACAAGACTCGAAGGATATATGATGTTTGGAGAATCAAATTATTGGGAACATTTTAGTGACACCGACAGAGAGAACATGTTTGAATATAATACATATTGTATAACTGAACCTGGAACTGAATTCACTGATATTCCCTTTAATTTTCAGACATCTACTGTGGGGATATAAAGACACAAAAGTTCCTTCTCTCAATGTTGTTTTGTTTTCTAGTACCAAGATTTTTCATGTAGATATGCTGCTGATGAAGAGTTATTGGTTAGTGCCTAGGATTACAGTTACATCAGAGATATCAAGTCAACATGAAGCAGAAAAACACACCAGCAACTTCAATATCTATAGTGTTCATGACTCTTGAAATATTGCTGTTGCTGATATGTTGTTTCTGCTGGCTTTAACTGTGTGTTGGTGAATCTACAGTACGTCTAAAGCTACTGATCTAACACTACACAGTCAGGGTTATTTGGGTTTTTACAAACTGTACCTGCAAATAGGCGCATCTGAAAGTCTATATTCTGCAAATCACAACAGTGAAAGAATAAACAGGCAAAGAGAGAAAAAAGTCAGCTGAAATCAAGATCGAGATCAAGCACACTAAATGGAGACAATAAAGCACAGTGGAGCCGATGAAAGGGAAATCACAAGACATAAAGCAGGTGTCACGTTTCTGAAGTGAACTCTAATTTAAGTACATTTCAATTCCTCGAATATTTTTAGCTGCTTTGCTTTTACTTTTCTGCGATACTCCGACTCTGACTTGAAGAAAACTTAAAGTTGTAAACCTTAAGATTTTAACAAACTCAAAGCACATGTTTGATACCACTTACAGTTGTCAATTCTTCTAGCCTGGGAACCAGATGAATGTGCGAGGTCATGTTTTATGTGCTCTGGCAGATGTGTCTCATCCCCCTCCCATTAAGACAGATTTCCATTTGACCAGACTCGAATCACTCGAATATCTAATTTTGGGGGGGGGGGGGGGTTGATACGACTCCTAACTACAGGAGGAGCCTTAGCAATGAACACAAAATATGTGAAGACATCGTTTTTGTCTCACATACCCTTGTTCCAGGGACGTAAACGTATCTTAGTAAAGAGAAGCGTCATTGAGGCATTTCTGAAAACACCCAGTTGATGTTAAACTTTCTGTTGAAGTACTATTTTTAAATGATGCAACAACATCACAGCTCATCTCTCCACTCTGTAGTCTGTTTCTATTTGTCTGTTGCCCAGTGCTACATCACATGTTGCGCTGCTCTGATTGGCTGTAAGTCTATCCTGTTGTGTCCAGAGACATTTGATCTACGGTCGCTGATAACAACCCTTGGAAATCAGAAATGCAGCCACATTCTGTTTGACGCCTACAAAACACTGCCCTACAAACCGCACCCACCATCGCTACAGGACGAACCCACCAACAGGACGGTTACTTGAAACCTGCTACCACACAGTGTCTTGGTGAATAAATATGAGGCCAAACGTAGCAGTGATTAACTTTATGATTCATTGTGCATGAAGACATGATTCACCCTTTAAGTAACGAGATGTAACCCTCACTGCCTCTCTTTTAACCTTCATAGCTAGCTAATCACTAACTTAGTATTTCTTTCAGGGCTGCTGCTTCCAGACCAAAAGGTGCAGGGTGGCTGATCGTGGACTGACATGTAGATATGGTGGGCGAGTCATGTACATAGCTGCTCCAGCTGCAGCTTCATCTACTCAAAATGCACCGAGAGGTTTCAGACTAAAGGCCACTGCACATCAAGTCTGTTTTCTTCGTCCGAAACTGTTGCACATTTACAAATTAATACGACCTCACATTGTGTCAATTAAGTTTACACGCTGTCTCCGAAGCTTCCATCCGTCATTTAAGTTTTGGGAACAGGCTTCTGCGTTTATTTAGCATCCGTCAAAAGAATTTTCTGACGAAGAAGCAGAGAAGAAAATGTGGCAGCGTGACGAAAGTCTGGAAACATAGAGGAAGGAGAGCTCAGCGTCTTCAAGTAGTCACAGTGCCAAATGCAAGACACAGGCAACAGCCAGGGAGGTAACTCTAGTGGAGCAACCGCGTCTTTCCTTTTTGTCTCGAACTACAAATTTTTGCAATGAATAGAACAATAAAATACTCGGACTCAGTGTGCAAGGTTTCTGTGCGTGACGATTTTTATCGAATGACAAATTACAAAAACACAAAGCTACATGTATATAAAATACAGACTTGGTGTGCAAAGACCTTTGTAAATTAGGCTACAATTTGTCTGCAAACGCCATTCCACGTATTCACATTCAGTAGTTGCCTCTCTATATAATGACTTCATTGTTAGTGGCGGAGTCTGCCATCACTGCGCTGGATTTAAATTGCCTTCACATGCGAAAAGAATTCACAAATGCTTCAGTGTGTTATCCAGTGTTACTGTTCTATCTCTTTTATATCAACCTCACTGTTCACGGTGTACACGGTGTATCAGAGCTGAATAAAGTTACAAACTAATGCAAAACCAACATTTCCTTCAGCAGCTAGTTAAAAAACCTTCCGCTGATGAAACACGAGCAGCTTTTATTCTGAAGTAGTCACAGGAAACACAATGTACTTATCACAGAGGGTAGCTCTGACTGCAACTGTTCATCAAAAAAGCGTTAGTTTTAAATGTTGCAGCAAGTTATGGAACAATAACGAGCAGCCACAGAAGGTGTATTTCCATCTAATATTCTGCACATTTGCAAATAAAAAACTGAGTGGAAGTTTTACGCTTTGATGAGGTGGAAACGTTGATGTACGGACAACAACAAAATGCGAAACAGTGCAATGGAAACATACTTGTTGAATATGAAGTATTAAACCTTACTTTCTGTCACCACCAGTAACACTGAACCTTCTCAACTAGATCTGAAATCTTAAGGATTATAACTTTAAGCGAGGAAGCAGTTTAACATCGTCTGAGAAATCACAAATGTTGACACAGTTACAATGGAGACTGAGGGCAGATTACTAATGAAGCAGGAGAAACAGAGAGTGACTAATGGTATGAAATCATCATTACTGTTCCCACAGCGATGTCATTAGATAACTTACCTCCTGTAACAAGTCGGCCTGCTCAATGGCCTTCAATACGTTCTTTTTGGACGTCTCCTGAGCTTCACCACCCAGCAGGAATTCATCCAGGATGAAGTAGGCCTTCTCAAAGTTGAAAATAATGTCCAGCTCACAAACCTTTAGAAATTAAAGCACACTTATTATGAACACGTAGTACACGTAGTCTAGGTTCAACAGGTGGCTCCATGTTGATACCTAACATACGACAGAATAAGAGAGGAGACATCAGACACTCACACTGCCAAAGTATTTGTCCAGCAGCTCCACATATCTGTGGATGATCTCCAGTGTGATGAGCTCGTTGTCCTGGTCCTCGATGGCACAGCAGAAGTACAGGCTGGCATATCTGCACACACATAGTGAATGAAGTAAATGTTGATTACACAATGTAATGGCTTTAGAATAATGACACCATCAGCATTTAGATTGGTTTCCTATAAGCTTTGCTGTCATGATGTAATTCTGTTTGTCACCAGGTACAATATCCTGGGAAAATGAAGGCTCGATTTATGACACAAAGACAGTGCATCAACCACTGCGCAACCAAAACCGGAAGAGGGTGGTCCTTTCGTTTTCCCTGATAGCTGTGGGTAGCTATCCCCCTTTACCAAAGAGTAGAGTCCTACATGTGTGCACTTTGGCAAACTTTGCAAGGTTCAGGACTGGAACTGATCCATTACCCATAATTATCTCCAAGTCAAATCCTGATCAGCCCCGACAACTTCATACAAGTCCCATGATTAAACACATCATTTTCCCACTACGCTATTTTGCACATCAATCTGCCTCAATCCATTCAAGATTTTGCATGTTTTTCTGGGATTGTTGCGACCTAACATGCCTGATTTCAACGCAGCCTTTCTGAAGAACGAAACAAAACAAAACAAAAAAAACAACAAAGCTGGTGTCTCATACGCCTGCATCTTCACAACCAGAAACAAGGAAGTGAGTGGTGACGTGGGGGAAACTTGTGGACAAAACTGCGAGGCCGTTCTTAATGGGGATTGCTTAAATTGGTTTTAAGTGGTGCAATCACAATATCGCAACATCCTGGAGTGTCTGACAAAGCACTCGCTTAGTCAGGTCCTATTTGTTGTTGATGTAATGCAAAGTGACACAAAGATAACCAATTCTGGAGGAATCATCTGTCCACGTATCCAAAGTGACTGCCCCGTTGATATCGGTCAGCTGTTACCATTAAACACTTTAGTGTGGTACCTTTGGAACCAACAGTAACCCTTCAGACATGGTACCTAGACCCTAGTGTTTCCAACACAAACAGTCTTCTTAAATATGGGCGGGGTTATTGTCACTCGCTGCTCCGTCCAGGGCTCACTTTATTTCCTCCTTTATCAGTCTGCACCTTGTTTATCGTCCAGAGAACGAGGCTGCACGCTGACATTTTCAGAACAAGATAAAACAGGCTGCAGGGAGAGTCTCTTTCCACGGGATATTTAAAAATAGCAGGTTTGTGCACTTAGTCCTTCTCAGGCAAGCTCAGGGGTTTAGTGTTGCTGTAGCCCACAGGAACGACACTCCACAATGCTTTTTTTTTCTCAGAGTGAGGATCAGAATATATGCAGTTCACATTAATATATAAACGCTTGAAGATCCACTCATTACTAGGGATCTAGAACTCTGAAAGGACTTAATATAATTGGACTTTTGATACCTCTGGCTTGTTGTTGTTTTCTGAATAACAACTGTTGTCATATCTCTATTACAAAAAAAGTTTTTGGCGAAAAAACTGGAAACTGTGGTCGTTGCTTTGAGTAAACGGGAAAGCGATCCAGAACAGCAGCGCCAACAATTACACCACTGGGAAACACTAGAGGAGGAAAAGTTATAAAGTTGTCTGTTTCCACTCTAAACAAACTATTTTATTGTAAAATCTGCACCATCACCCTGATAGAGTAAATATAAGAAGAGCTGACTTTATGCATTTTTATCACTTAGACAGAATCTCCCAGTGATATATTCTGTCTCCCAGCTCACTGTAACAGTGCTGAGAGAGCACTTCTGCCATTATTACGGATTGCTGTTTACTGTGTACGGGGTATTCATTTAAAAGCCAGAAGCCGGATGCAGGAGGCTGTATGAGCTAAGCCTCATTCTGCCATGGTTCTTTATCCCTGATAATCCCTCAGGCACTCTTTAAGCATGTGATGATTGGCTAATAAAGGAGCTGGTCAGTTGATCCCTCACAACCAGCAGGTAACGAGGGCACAATGGACTCTACTGTGGACTTTAGAAAGACAAGCATGACATACCGGAACAAAAGTCAAACCTCCACAGGACTGGAACTGGTTGACGTTATTGATTTGATTATACTCTTAAATTGTTTCTTCTCCATCTTTGTCTGCTGTGTGCAAGTGAATGGAAGGCAGAGCCAAGCTCAGGAAACACAAAGGTTCAGTTCAGTTGAGTGTAGCTGTCTGTTACAGAGAGGTGAGACAGCACTTTTACTGTAGCTGACTCGTGGTCAGAGCCAGCAGCCATGACAAGAGGAGGTCAAAGGGTCGAGCCTTTCAAAGCGAATGCATCATTTCTCCATGAAGACAAACTCCCTTACCCGTTCGGATCCCAATTATGTTCCAAACACAAAAACATACTGTAATGGTGGATTTCTACTCTACATGCACTTGTATTTTATTAGCGTTTCTTTTAAATCAGGATACTTAATGTGTTATTTTTATGTTTCTGTTCTGAGTATTTCAGAAACTACTCATCTACTGGGATTTTCACACACAACCATCTCTAGGGTTTACAGAGGATGGTCCCAAAAAGAGAAAATATCCAGTGAGCCAAAATGCCTTGTTGATGCCAGAGGTTAGAGGAGAATGGCCAGACTGGTTCAAGATGATAGAAAGGCAACAGGAAGTCAAATAACCACTGGTTCCAACCAAGGTCTGCAGAAGACCATCTCTGAAACAACAACACCTTGTCCAACCTTGAAGCAGATGGGCTACAGCAGCAGAAGACCACACCAGGTGCCACTCCAGTCAGCTAACAACAGGAAACTGAGGCTACAGTTCACACAGGCTCACCAAAACTGGACAATAGAAGATTGGAAAAAACGTTGCCTGGTCTGATGAGTCTGGATTTCTGCTGCCACATTCAGATGGTAGATCAGAATTTGGTGGTTATAAACAGCCTAAATATCAAACAGCAGCAACAGTTATTCTCTTTGTTGTTAACTCTTTCCACTTGGTGTCCTGAGGCTCAGTTGGGTAGGGGGTATACTTTGTACTGACCTAACACCTCATCATTTTAATTTCTTCTCACCTAAAGGTAATATGCCCAAAAAAAATAATAAAACAAGAAAAAAGGATTTCCAAATGTCTGTGGCTTTTCACGTCTTCTTAAAATCACAACATCTCAACCAACACTGAATAAAGCTCTCAGAGTAATTACTACTCTCTGACCTCTTTCTCTTCACCTTCAGCAAAGCCATTGTTCAGTTTCGGCATTATTTTAACACTCTGACAGCTGTATCCAAAAACTCTCTTTTGACATGTGAGTAGGTAGGACACTCTCTTTATTAAGACAATTAGAGAGCTGAGAGCTGCACAGAACAATGCAGACAAAGATGTATTCTGCAGGGTGTCTATCAGACACTCACAGTTTGTGCTTTAAAGACCTTTTCAAGATTATTTTAACCAAATTTTAGACATATTTTGGGACAAATCATATTTTTTTTATTCAAGTATTGCAGGTCAGTGTAAAGGTAAATATATATGTCCCTTGTAGACATAGGTTTTAAGCAGGAATATGGTTATTAGAGTGAGTTAAGTTGATGAGAAATGTTGACTTTCACTATAAACTGTATATAACTGCAGTTTTAAAGCCTCGACTTCGACATCTCGGCCACCGCCATCTTAGTTTATGGAGCTTGAGGGGACAAGTTTGGACAAGAGGGTAGAGCTGTGGATCTGACTCACTTACATTTGCATAACTTTGGGCAGCAATAAAATGTAAACAGGTGACTTTCAAAAAATTCACCCCCTGTACAGTTGTCATGGATGTTAAAATCAGCTATAAAGACCAAAACCATTGTTGTACTATTATGGATGTAAACATGTTTATTTCTGCTGTAATGTCGGACATTTTAACATGGTGGTCTGCGGGGATTGAGTTGCTCCTGGAGCCAGCCTCGGAGGTTGCCGCTTTACTTTCATGCAGGAGAGCTTGACTCGTTTTGACAAAATTAAATTTGATCAATTAAATAAGATAAAATGTTTGTGGCAATTAAGACCTCACAATTTCAAATGTAGGACTATTTAATGACTTTTAAGGGTTAAAGCAGCTGTGCGGAACTTTTTACCATTCATAAAACTGTCCCTAGTTTGTATCACCCCCCCTTGAAGATCTGCATATTTATTTGAACCCAACAGCGACAAAAAAGCCTTTCTCTATATGGCTATTTAGCGTAGCCTGGCTCGCTAAATAGCCATATAGACATGTAGTAGGGAGTAGTCTCTTGTACAGTAGGTGGTGGTATGCACCTGGAAGTTGTTTGCGATCCGCCAATAAATTGAGAGATGAAGAAGAGCTGTGTTTACAGAGAGCGTTCTTCAAGTAAGCAGTACGCAACGGGCATTGCTGAACACATAACAGTTTTCCCAGATGTATCTATAAGGACTTGGTTGTACTTTCGATGTCATGGCGGATAAAGAAGGAGCACCATCTAAAAGAAAAAGAACAGAAGAACAGAAGAAGGCTAAACGGGACAGTGATAGGGCTCAAGCCCAAACGCGTGTAAACCTCGGTCGGGCATTCACCAAGTGGAGAGAGCTGAGAGATTTGAAAGGTTTTAAAACTGATCCCGAGTTGGGCCTTTTCCTAATCGACAGATATGTAATTTTTGTTTTTATACCGCAACTTGTTAGACGTTGTTTCACTTCAATATATGACGACATGGAAGTTATAAGCAAGCTAAATGTAACGTTAGCTGATGTGAACCGCTTTTGTCTAGTAACGTTACAACAAATGCCACAAAATTATCTGTGACTGTGACCATGAACACAAATACACAGCAGGCAGTTGTCCTCTGTTTATAAGAAATTCAGAGCTACACCAGAACATTTATGATTTTCGTTTCGCTCTCCAAAACAAATGCATGTGGTAACTGCCAGTTGCAGTCAAGATTTTACGACACCAGGCTGTGGGTGTCATACCGCTTCGACCAAAGGGGGCGCTATAATCAACGAAAACGTAAAGTTCCGCACAGCTGCTTTAACAGTTTTGCGATATTTTATGTGCCGATATTGTATCGACACACAGACACCAAGTATCAATCTTTTTTATAGACATTATTACTTTTTGCAAATACACATTTTAATACAATTTTTGGTGGTAGAATTATTAAAATCATTTTCTTTTTTTCCCCGTCCACTAGATGGTGCTGATGATTTTTTTTCCTGGTGAGGTCAGCAGAGGTCTCAGGCAGCAGGATTTGGCAGGAAGTTCATCCAAACAAAGATGGAGGCACCGGAGAAAGAAATCAGAACGTCTGGACTTATTTTAAATTTTTAAACACCGAAGGAAAGGAGGACTTATGACACATGCGATTTGCAAGCAGTGTCATATGAGAATAAAATACTCTGAACATGAGGGCCCATCTCACACTCCACCATCCACAGCTACGTTAGCCGCTGACGGTCAAGCTAACGCTACACCCGCTCCGCCAAAAATCAACCAACACTGGACACACTTAGCTTGACAAAACTACCATCCAACTCAGAGAGAGCTGAGAAAATAACAGTCCATCATGTTCTTCATGTGCAAAGATCTGCCTCCATACAGCAGTGTTAAAAGCAAAAGCTTTTGTTACATGCTAACAACACTGGAGCTCAGATATATAACTCTGTACTGTTTTTTCACATCGTATCATGGGTCCTCTGGCGATTCCCACCCCTTGACTGCTGCAGTGCAACTAGATCCATCACTTACACCTTCATGCTTTAATAAGATGCAATAAGAGTCCACTGAATTGTTGTTAACACATGAAAATATATATAAATAATTATATAAAATGGCAAAGTAATTACTGTGAGCTAACATTAGACTGGTTGTGCAACGGTGCAAAGTTGCTGACCGGCTGGCACCTCGATTGTCTGTCCCGAATGGGTCACTCAAGTTCACCATTAGTCTGCCTGCCCGTCTGTTGGCATGGCAACAGGATATAATGAGGCAAAATTAATGCTCTTTCTCGTTGTAGTCCGAGTGCAGTCATGATGCCTTCGTCACTTTGATAACACTTTCTCCTGCTTTTCCAACTGAGCCATGTCTATGAATGATGGGTCTATGAATTGCCCAGAGAAGTGTGAAATATCTCTATTCTGTGGGCGCTCAACCAGACAGCATTTTGTTCATAAACAATCCTACACACCTCTTATATACGATCTTGAGGTCCCTCCACTCCAGAAAGCTGCACATTTTGGGCTTTCGAGCCAGGACCGTCTGCACCAACTCCCTGGTGATCTTCTTTTTCTCCTTATCAGACAAAGGCACGTACCACTTTTGAAGCCTGAGCTTGCCTTGTCGGCTGAATAGAAGCATGAACTGCATCTGAAATGAAGAGGGGAAAAAAAGAACAGAGGAGCTGTGAAACACAATGAGAGATGAGAGGAAGGGGTGGGTGGTAAAAGACATCTGCGGAAAAAGACAAAGAGCCTTCAAACGAACTCATCTAATCACTTTTCATTTAAAACCAGATGTCGATATCAAGAGCCAGAGTGATTCTGACAGCTTGAGCCAAACTGAGGAAACTATTAGGGACTGTTCCTTAATTTTGAGGGGGGGAGGGGGTGGTGCAAAAAGGAGGGGGGTATTTCAAATCATTTAGGGCCTTATGTTTTTATTTTTCAGCTTAAGGGAGGGGCATACAAATTTAAATGTTGTATTAAAAAAAAAAAAAAAACATTGAACTGAACCTGCAGGCTTATGTTTTCTGTAAAAATAACCCAAAGTACACCAGTTATAATAGCTAGAAACTGTACAAACAGAAATTATCATTGGGTTTTCAATTTTATGACAGTCCTTGCACACATTATGTGAGACGAATGCTTCTGTCAGGAAAAAAACATGACCAAATCTGAGCTTAAAATACTGATATTTAATCAAAATCACTTTCGTATTTAAAATTTGGCCAAAAATAAACTGTTTGGATGAAGTAACCAGCAACTCCAGGATTTCATCTTCAACTTTTAACTTTCAAACATCACAGAGTACGTTTTTAAAATATGATAACTAATTTATGGCAAGGACAGTTATGCATTTTCTGATGGTCACTCAGGGAGGCTCAAGGAAAATATTTGTAGCTTTGGAGATGGTTGCAAAAAATAAAAAATAAATCAAAATAAAGAAACACAGTCACACCCCTCCTCTGATAAGTAAAGAACAGTCCCTTATTGTATGACATGTGGCAGGTGCTCAGGAAATTAGCAAGACAAATTACATTTAATCAAGTCAATCAAACAATCTCAGGAAATTCATGACAGCATTCATGTAATAACTTCATACATAATGTCAGTATTATAGTGAGTTGTTAAGCTATTTGCGTGTTGGTGTGCTGCCATGTGTTTTTGATAAACAGCGCACCATTTAACTTCAAATTCAGCCTGGACAGTTAAACAGAGACAATATCTCTAATGTTTTTAATTCAAGATACACTGTAATAAATAACATGTGACTGTCATTAAAAGCTCTCTGTAATAAAACCCAAAACATGACTGAAATCGTCATCTCGTCTTTTATCAACACAACCTAACGGAAGTACCGCTAACACCGTTATTCAGCGGTTAGCATTAGCTTCCTCAACTACCGCCTAGCTTGTTTAAAACACGACACGCAACCGAGTGTGTAAAAACATTTTAATATAAAACACGAAATAAAACACGCTAAAAACTACTTACCTTGATTAACAACACTGTATTCCCCTCTGAAGAAATGAACTACCCACCCTGAAGCATAAACTGCCACTTGGTATCAAGCTTCTGATTGGCCAATGAGGCGTTCACAGCGTTGTTCATTGGCTTAGATATTTTGGTATGCTCCGCCCATCCAAGCCTCTAACTCGAGATCGCAGATGTGATTGGCTGATACACACATCAATCAAGCCACAAGAAACCAGATGGTTCCGCACATTAAAACGTCATCAGCGGAGGCATCAGCTGAATGTTTAAATGGAGGCGGTTTGTAGTTTTATCACAGTTTGAAGATGTAAATGTAGGACTTTAAAAGGCCACATAGTGTGTTTGACACAGCTTCTGATGGTTTACACATCACAATATATAGACTCATATCATGTATTTATAGAAAAGGAAAATAAACAACACAAAAAGCTAAATTTCTAATAAGTAAAAGAAGATAGTGGTAAGATGGAACAAATAAATATAAACAAATATAAAGTGAGTTCCCTGAGCTTTTGTTTAGTAAGCATTTTTCATTTCTCCTAGCATTTTGGGATCAGTAGGATCTGATAATTATAAAAAACTAAGCATTGTTTTTGATCAGGAATCAGAATCAGAATCAGAAATACTTTATTGATCCCCGAGGGGAAATTATTTATGTTACAGGTGCTCCTTGCAAGAGGGGAAAGATACGTGAAAATATAAGAAATTTAAACAATAGTATTTACAAATATATAGTTAAATAAACAGGAATTATTAACAAACATAAACGTAAATAAATATATATATATATATATATATATTGTAAGCTGAACAAGATTATTTACACAAACAGAATATATACAGTCAGGGTGAAATGGGGTTTTTGCACAAGTTACATTGGATTATTGCAGTGTGTGAAAGTCTCAGGGCCACTCAGAGGGAGGAGTTGTACAGTTTGATGGCCACAGGCAGGAATGATTTCCTGTGGCGCTCAGTGGTACATCTTGGTGGTATGAGTCTCCCACTGAAAGTACTCTTGTGCCTGACCAGCACATGGTGGAGTGGGTGTGAGACATTGTCCAAGATAGTTCGTAGTTTAGACAGCATCCTCCTCTCTGACACCACCATCAGAGAGTCACACTCTGTTCCCACAACGTCACTGGCCTTGCGGATCAGTTTGTTGAGTCTGTTGGCGTCTGCCACCCTCAGCTTGCTGCCCCAGCACCCAACAGCATAGAGGATAGCACTGGCCACCACAGACTCACAGAAAATCCTGAGCATAGTCCGGCAGATGTTGAAGGACCTCAGTCGCCTCAGAAAATAGAGACAGCTCTGGCCCTTCCTGTAGAGAGCGTTAGTGTTCTTAGCCCAGTCCAGTTTATTGTCAATGTGTACACCCAGGTACTTATAGTCCTCTACAATGTCCACACTGACCCCCTGGATGGAAACAGGGGTCACCGGTGTCTTGGTCCTCCTCAGATCCACAGCCAATTCCTTTGTCTTTTCGGCTACTTTTATCAGTAATCTCGTTCTTTCAGTCACTACCCAGAGCTCATGACCACAGGTGAGGGTTGGGATGAAGATAGACCAGTCTTCACCACAACGAGCCGGCACAGCACCCCCATCACTGCAGATGCTGTGCCAAACCACTGATCCATCTCACACTCCATTCTACCCTCACTCGTGAACAAGATCCCGAGATGCTTAAACTCCTTCGTTTGGGGCAGTAACTTTCTTCCAACCTGGATAGGGCAATCCACAATTTTCGGCAGAGAATCATGGCATCAGACTTCGAGGTGCTGACTTTCATCCTGACCACTTCACACTCGGCTGCAAACCACCCCAATGCATGGTGGATGTCACGGTGACAAAAAGACCCAAACGACCAAGAAAGACACAAAATTAAATCAATAAAATGAAAAATTAGTTCAAAGACACACAAAGAAAAATTACCTACATAAAAGACTAAATTAGTTCAAAGAGATACAAAATAACCTCATAGAGACCCAAACGACCACAAGACACATAAGACCAAAAAAGACACAAAATTATCTCAATAAAACACAAAATTGGTTCAGAGACACAAATGACGTCAGAGACCCAAACGACCACAAAAAGACACAAAAGTACCTCAGAGAGACCCAAATGACAAAAAGACACAAAACAACCAAAAAAAGACACAAAATTATCTCAATAAAATGCAAAATTAGTTCAAAGAGACACAAAATGACCTCAGAGAGACCTGAATGACCACAAAAAAAACACAAAACAACAAAAAAGACACAAAGTTATCTTAATTATACACAAAATTAGTTAAAAAAAGACACAAAACGACCTCAGAGAGACACAAAACAACCGCAAAAAGACACAAAATTACCTCAATAAAACAAGAAATTACCCCAATAAAATGCAAAATTAGTTCAAAGAGACACAAAATGACCTCAGAGACACCTAAATGACCACAAAACGACCATAAAAGACACAAAATGATCTTAATAAAACACAAAATTAATTCAAAGAGACATAAAATGACCTCAGAGAGACCTAAACAACCACAAAAAGACTCAAACGACCACAAAAAGACAAAATGACCTCAATAAAACACAAAATTAGTTCAAAGAGACACAAAATGACCTCAGAGAGACCCAAATGACAAAAAGACACAAAACAACAAAAAAAAAGACACAAAATTATCTCAATAAAATGCAAAATTAGTTCAAAGAGACACAAAATGACCTCATAGAGACCCAAACGACCAAAAAAGACATCAAATGACCAAAAAAAGACAAAATTACCTCAATAAAATGCAAAATTAGTTCAAAGAGACACAAAATGACCTCAGAGAAACCCAAACAACCACAAAAAGACCCGAACGACCACAAAAAGACAAAATGACCTCAACAAAACACAAAATTAGTTCAGAGAGACACAAAATGAATTATCTCAATATAACAACAAATCAGGCTAAATTAGTACAAAGTAACCTCAGAGAGACCCAAACAACCAAAAACCACCAAAAAGTCTGTGTGTCTTCCACTTATGTAATAAAGGTGGTGGGGCCTTTGCATATCTGTGCCCCAGGGGCCTATTGTCTCATAATTTGGTAAAAAGAGTGTAGTTTGGTGCAGGAGTAGTGCCTCCTCTAAACTCCTTTAAATTGAGAGCAGACTGTAATGTTGACAGGTGATGGCACCGCCGCCAATAAGAGTGTCGTCATTCTTGATTTATCAAGTGATGGTAACTCTTCACTGCAGGTGCAGTACAATAGAAGAGCCTGAGGGAGGTGTCTCAGGGCCAATAAAGAGTATTAGATGAGGCCATCACAGGCCTGTGGATTACAGTAATCCAATCTTCTGTAGCGTTGAGTATCACACACTTGTCGCATTCCAGCACAGCTGAAGAGGAAGATGGAGGTCACCACTCGAAGGGCTGCTGTGTTGTTCCTCCTGCTTCTATCTCAGGGTAAGTGACTGTACACCTGCAGGAGGGATATTATTAAATCATAGCGCACTCTGTCCGCCTTAATAATCAGGAATATTCACACTGTTCTGCCTTGTGTGTCATGTCTGTTTGTAATCATGTTAAAGTACCATATTGGTGGTTCATTATTTGTGATTCAAAGTTACTTTTTTCTCTGTATGTCATGATATTTTTTTTATTCAGCTTCCATATAGAAACATGAATCCTGCAGAATAATTAAAGATATTTTTCACGTTGACTGTCATCTTACTTTCGTCCAAATGCATGCAAACACTTAACAAATTAATTTGTGTTCATTTAATTTTATTTCCTCTCAGTTTCTTCTGCAAATTTTTGGTTTTAGCGTTCACATTTTCCTCCATCTACTTCTACATTTCATGCATCTTTTGATGTGGCACAGCCCTGATGGCTGTTCACTCACAGGAGGTAAGAGCCTGATAATAACCGGCCTGGAAGAATTTGTGATTTGAACTCTGGATTAACTCTTTCCCATGTGTCCTTTAGGAGGAGGAGGCCGTCCAGGAGGAGGAGCTGCAGGAGGAGGACCAGCAGGTGATCGAGACATTGACATCAAATGTCAAAGCCTGCACCTGCGACTGCGAGTCTGCTGATTCACCCACACGTTTCCCCACTGTCATCCCACCTGTCCTGGAGACCTCACCCCTGCCCCCGCCACCTAAGGGTCACCCAATGACCTGCATGCCAGGTAAGTTGTGCTCCCCAGTCTCTTTCACTCTTGAGGATGTTGGACGTCTGATAAACTAGGCCAGAAGAAAAAGAGTGATTATATGAAGGACAACGACAGCAGGAGACATCACACATGTAAAGATTAATGACGGGCAGCTTCGTATCCTGTGGATGTTTTAGGTGTTTTGGGCACACAGAGAGCTCCAGCTGGTGTGATGGATCACACAGCTGATGGTCGCTGGCTGCGTCTCTACATGCTCTCAATCTAATCTTGGCTCAGTCTCCGCATCTCCGCAGCGGTGCACAATCACCTTCCACTATGATCCTGACAATATTCAGCCGTGCTCTTCCTCACTCAGATGCCTTGTTAGGATAAAAACAGTTTGGGGTTAAGAAATGAACAACTGTGAAGAAGAGGCCCGGAACGACAAACGCTGTAAGGTAATCTCATTACCTGTGCAGGAATGTGATGAGCAGATTAGGGAGCCCAAAATAGGGCGTGCCCTTCACCTAATAGCATGATACTGGGCAAAGCAGCACACATCAGATGATGCCTCCGCCATCGTCTTCCGCCTTATCACGCAATCCTTGGCAGTATCAGATCTTAATTTAAGCTAAATCACCAGCTGCTTACAATTCATTATCAGAGGAGGAAATCCTGATGCACTTCATTATACTGACCTAGTTTTATTTTAGGCTGCATGAACTGGATTTATTTTGTATGTGCACCCAAATCCTGTGTCAACTTTTTAACATTTTTTCTTCTTTGGCATAACGGCATTCAGGTACTGTATTCATCTGGAGGAGTTAATAAGCTGTGTGAAATTAAAAGGGGCCTGTTTCAAAATGTATACACGTAAAGGCCAAGACACACCAAACTAACAAAAACTAGTGGCGACAAAGGCCGACTGTTGTGCCGCCTCTCATCACCTGTGTCTCAGCCAACAAGTGGCACACAGCAAAGACCACAGCCAATGGCTAACTAGCACGTACGTTCTGTGTCTGCGTGAGAGGAAATAACTCTCAACACCAGCAGGTGGTGGTAGTCTGTATTTGTCATTCAAAAAGAAAAACTATAAGACCAACAGGACAGATCCAAGAGTTAGCCAGTTAGCACACTGACAACACAACCTGGTGTTGAAAGAACAAATGATATTTACCGTGCATGTATGCAGATGATGACCTGTTGTTGTTATCCTGATGGGACTTTGGCCAAATGGCCTACGTGACTTCAATCATGGTTTGGCGTAGTTCTGGCTAAATTAGGAGAATCCATTGTTCTCAGAACCGGGTCTCTGAATTGTAGGAAGTAACACTTGGGGAGTTCCTACAGTACCGACAATGCTTGTTTGTCACACGCTCTAAATTGTCATGATATACCAAGTCTTTGGCCGCTTAAATGTGCAGCTCCATGTCTGAGCCTCTCTTATTTTAAGTCTTGCAGTCACTGCTAAAAAAATAATCTGACCTTACTCTACAGTCTGTGTTTGAAGGATATATCCAGGATGTCAAACTGACTCAGCAGCAACAACAGGTTAAAAAGACAAAGATAGTTAGAAGCTAAAGCCGAACTATAGGCTACAGATCACAGTGTAAAAGTGAACCACCACATCACTGCTGATCGCCACACAAGACAATGAACCAGTTGTGTGGCATCACAGTGTGTGCAGATGCCAGCGCCCAGACCTCCACTGCTGGACAGGCAAGGATCTCTGGGAGAAGTCAAACAACGTTCATCTGCATACAATGTGATGCCACACAGCTGGTTCAATATCAGCAAAGTTTCCCTGCTTCCCTTCACTGGTTTCTGTACAGCAGGGTCGGTCTTTGTTTCACTGTTATAATCATTAAAAAGCAAAAGCAGCATGTGTATACATTCAGTAGGCTATATCTTCAGTAGCTAGCTAGCTAACCCTACACTTTTCAGGGTCTGATTCTGGTTTTGGAACAGGGAAGAAACGTATATCTTTTTCCAACACAAAAATATTAAGCCCAGACTAAATCAAGTCTGAGGCAATTCTCTTCATTTATTAATAACTAAACTCTTGTCTTCCACTTGTTTTAATAGCTTACCGATTAAAACGTTTGAATGTCCTCCACAGAATGTCCTTACCACAGAGCTCTGGGCTTTGAATCTGGATCTGTGTCCTCAGACCAGATCAGCTGCTCCAATCAGGACCAGTACGCCGGCTGGTACTCCTCCTGGCTCCCCAACAAGGCTCGCCTTAACAACCAAGGCTTTGGGTACGTCATGACCACACAGATCTTCTTTTTTATTATCATTGCTGTGAACATACTACAACAAAAGCATACATGTGGATGTTTGTTAGGTGTGCATGGCTCTCCAAGTTTAACGACCAGCATCAGTGGATCCAGATCGACCTGAAAGAGGTCAGTGTGGTGTCTGGTATCCTCACCCAGGGCCGCTGTGATGCTGACGAGTGGATCACTAAATACAGCATCCAGTATCGCAGTGTGGAGACACTCAACTGGATCTATTACAAAGACCAGACAGGAAACAACAGGGTAAGTACACAGAAGAGCGGTCAGTGTTATCTCTTCATGCAACAAATGATCGTCTGACCACTTTATTAGGGAATACAGCAACAGACAACCTCACAATACCTGGTTCTGTTCAGAGCTGGAAGGAATTGTCATTTCTCTGGGTCCAGCTTCTCCAGTGTGAGAATTTGCTGCTTTTCTGTTTTCTATCATTGTCAGTTGAGTGCCATTGGAGGTTAGACTCTTGGTTGAACATTAGACATTTGAAAATGTCACTTCTGGCTCTAGGAGAAAATGTTATAAGCATTTTTCACTACTGTCTGAAATTATATAGAAGAAAATAATCAAAAAAATCAAATCAAAGTTAGTTTCAGCCATAATCTGGACTTTGGTTTTCACCTCTGTTTGGTGTTTAATCAATCAATCTAATCAGCCTCAGAATATCATATGGGATCAACGAGTTATACTAAATACAAATAAACTAGATATCTATATAGTTACAGATAATGCCACGGCCATAGCCAATATTGGGGGGGACCAAATCTGCCAGGGGAGCTGGGGCACCACTCCCTGGCCCCAGAGGAAATTTCAACATTTGACGAATCATTTTCTATTATGTTATTTTATTAATTATGAGCAAGTACAGCTTTATGGTATACTATACACATACAATGAACAAGCGGAGTGCTCCAGCCCCTGCCCTGGTTCCCTCATCAAAAAAGGGATTTTTCCACTGGATCTTGAATTATTGCAGAAAATAAGCTCTGTGAAAAACAAATGTTTATGATATTAACATAATCTTCACAGCTGAACACCACTTTTAGGATTTTTTAAGCTTAAATGCAATCGCCAGAAGTAAAAAGCTAACGTTAGGCTGCAGTTGCATGTCCCAACCACAACGATACTATTAAGCAACGCTTGGTGTGATGACGTTTTGTAGTCTCACTCAGCCACTTGTTAGCAACTGCCTAAAAGCTTCAAAATTCCCAAGTTGGGTATTTAATATGTCATGCAATATAATCACAGACCTTATTTCAGCCTCTAACCCAAAACCCCTTAAAAAAAACAAACTCGCAGACTTTGAGACGAGGGAACCAGGAGTGCAAAAATGCTGACTCATCTTCAGGTTTTGGGACTCAATCTTGGGGGCCTCTATTTGGAATTAATAAAAGCTGCTACTGTCTACAGAAATTACACATGCATAAATGACACTTTCCACAGACTTCACGTGGGCTTTATGACAAACTGAATGTAAAAAGACATTAACATTAGTTGAACACACCCATGCGCCGTGTTCTGCTAGGTTACGGCAACACCACTTGGACAAACCACATGCAGACCTGCAGTTCACTGTAATGTTTGTGTTCACACCAAACGCAACGCAAATTTTCGCGTTGTTGTGTTACTCAAGCGAGTTTGAACACTGAATGTTTTGTGTTGACTGCATACTCACGTCATATGCACATGAAATTGCTGAATAAGTGAATGAACTTTGGCCGTACATCCTTGGTGTCTTATGTCCCTGGAAGATCTCAGTGGTGATTGGCTATATTGCGCACAAATCACTTGCTAAATTTCAGATTTTTCAACTTTCAACATAGCTTTCAACAAAGCATATGACGTGAAATCACGCTACTCGCTTCATTCACCCTGCTTAATTCGTGTATTTCGCATCATCGACATTGCGTCCATCTGGCGGGAATTCGCGTCTTATTCGCGTCTTTACATTGACTTTACATGCCACTCGCACGAATTGTGTTATTCTTCTCCGATGTGAACATAACGTAATACTGTAGCCAGTAGTTGTACTAATAGCTCTTTGTCAAGTTTATTTATGACTATAGTTACATCAGCTACTGAGTATTTCAGTTGCCTACGGTTGCCTATCGTAGAATAGCATTTTTAGCATATTTGAACATTGGGGTGGATGTGCCACCCCTCCCCCAATACATATTATAATTACTGTCTTGATTTATGCCCTCGAATGGTGCAGAAATCAGTTTCCTGTCTTGGTCCAACCATCAGTTTTACTATGAAAGTGGATCCTCGTGAAGAATGAAGTGAAGGTAAAGAGATATCAAGAGAAGTCATCTTGAATATCTTGACATGCGTGTTTACTTTCTACCCTTCAGGTCTTCTATGGGAACTCTGACCGCTCCTCCACCGTACAGAACCTGCTGCGCCCACCCATCGTAGCTCGGTACATCCGCTTGCTGCCGCTGGGCTGGCACACCCGCATCGCCGTGAGGATGGAGCTGCTGATGTGCATGAACAAGTGCTCCTGAAGTGCACTCAGCCTGCTTTGTCCTCACTGTCCATCCTTCCCCTGCCAACCTGCAGCTTGCCAAAAGGGGACATCGGTCCAGCGACAAAAGATCCATCATGTTACTTTGTTATGACCTTCATCTCTATGATGAGGCTCACAGCAAACTAAGTCTGGGAAGGTGGACATGTTTGATGCACTATTTATCTGTCTTAAAGTCTGTATTGTTTAATATGTAAATACAAAATTGGACACCTCAATGAATACAGGGATTCAAGTTTTAAATTCCAATTTGGAGGCCTGTTACCGTCAATAAAACTACAGGAGTACATGAAAGATTTGTTTACTCATTACTGTCTTTGAATCACAGACGAACACTATAATAAAAAAGATTCTACAGGTCAAGTTTGAAATCAAATGAGTTTGTTTTATTTGAGATTTACTGTTACATATGTAAACATGAATATTCTAAAATTGTTAAGCATTCATTTGTGGGTTTATGCTCTCATGTAAATGCTCTGTTGAAAAAAAAAGCAGATAAACACTGACTATGCTACTAATTTGTGTCTGTAGTAAAAGCACAAACGTAATACTTGATTTCATTTAAACAGTTGATAAACATCTTCTGTTATAAATATTACCAAACAAGTAGTCACACATCAGTATTAATATAATACACAGTGCTCCTTCTGCAAAACAATAATCCAAAGAGAGAACTGTATTGTGTCAAGTACAGAGTGTGCACGGTCCTTACAGATGCAAAATACACAATACGATACGGTGATGTTTGGACTCAGTGTGTAACTGTGGGAGCCTCAGGCCCCATGTTTCAGTCTTCACACACTGTGCACATGATGAACATGAAGTGAGGAAGAATTTACAGAGTCAGGGCAATATTGCTGAGCCATACAGTCTCTTCAAAGTGCAACATTAAAAAAAGCTTAGGATTTATTTCTGCCAAGCTACTTTCATGGCACTTTATCCCAGACAGAAAACAATGTTACAGTGCAGAGCTTCTGCCCCCACTGTGGTTCGGTATTAAATTTTTCTCATAAGCTTGTCCCATGTGGCTCAGTGTGTGCAATCAGATAAAAAAATACACGAGTACAGTGATTCCCAACCAGGAGGTACATGTAGTCCAGGGGGTACTTCTGCAGATGGGTTATGGAGAGACTTTAAACAGAAGTAATTTAATCTGAACATTAGTTTATGTTGCTATTAAGAGCATGTGTAAAGTTAGCAAGCAAGCGTTAAAGTCAAAACAGTTCGCTCAAAGCAATAAATTAATTGTCGAAATATTTAACTACTGCGAATGTAATGAACAAATGGTGAAAAGCTAAAAGAAACAGATGATGAGCTACTAAAATACTGTAAACCTTTGCACATCCTTTAAAACAGGGATAGTCAACTTGTTTCGCCTGGGGGCCAGGGGCCAGTTAATAAACAGACTAATATTTATCAGTTTAATAAATTGCCTATTTTCAACTTGTCAACACTGGGTGTTATTACTCATCTTTCAGTGGCAAATCCTTATCTACATTCAAGGCACAAAAAACTTCCCAGTATAAATCATTGTATTTTAATTGGTGGGCCACCCGGCACCCTATCACTGGCCAAGTTGAATTATTATTGCCCTAAAATATATTTTTGCACATTCCTGCCTGCTCCTTCATTTAAAACAGTTACACTGTACATATTTTTTAACTGTATTTTTTCATCGCAATTTCTTTAATATTCTACAAGTATTATTTGGTCTGTGATTCTTGTCAACCTCTCTCTAAACACCAAAGTAGATTCCTTGTACAGTATCTGAAAACCTACTTAGCAATTAACTGGGCTGTGAATCTAAACAACAGTTAAAATAGGTAGCCAAACAGTTAAAACAGGTAGCCAAAAATATTGGGGAAATGGTTAAAAATGCTAAATGTAACAGATGAACGGCTGAATTAGTGAGCTTTAACAGTTGTAATGTTAGCTAGCAAAAGTAACAGATGGTGAAAAAACTAACATACAAGGATTAACAGTTAAACTAGAAAGATAAATGTAGTGGCAAATTGGTTGAACTAGCTAAACGTATTAAATAACCTGTTCAGATAAGTAAATGCGGTAATGGATAAACTGAAATAAAGCTGAAATAGATTAGCCTGGTTCCAGACCATAGACCCCGCCCACTCAACTGGAGCTTCAGTCTGACACTCAGGCTAGAAATAGATAGCTAAAAGTAGTGGACATATGACATAGTCAGCTTAAACTACTGTGGAAACAGCTATAAATGCTAAATGTAATAGATAAAAGGTTGAAATAGTTAGCTAAAACAAACAGCAGTGATAGCATAGCTAGCATAAATGTAACCGAAAAATATAAATGTATGGACAAACAGTTAAAATGGTTAGCTTAAAGTGGTGGCAACGTGGTTGAAGAGGTAAAAGTCACAATAAACTGATAAACAGTTAAAATAGGTAATAGATAAACAGTTGAAATAGCTAGCTAAATGAAAAAAAATAAATGGTTCAAACAGTGAGCTAAAACAAAGTTGTAATAGTTAGCTAGCGTGAAAGTAACTGACAAATGATGAACAAGCTAAAAGAAATGGATAAACAGTTAAAAAAGATAGCTAAAAGTAACTGATATAGGCCTATGGATGAAATATTTAGCTCAAAGTATTGGGGAAATGGTTGGAACTGCTAAATGTAATGGATAAATGGTTGAAATACGGAGCTAAAGCAAACATTAATAGTTAATGTTAGCTAGCAAGCTATAAACAAATGGTTAAACAGCTATAAGGAATGAAAACAGTTGAACTGGTTATCTTAACAGTAGCAGCAAAATGGTTAGAATAGCTAAGTAATGAACAAACTGTTCAAATAGTTAATTAGGTAAATGTGGTAATGAATAAACAGTTGAAATAGCTACACTAGAATGATATCCAGTTTGCAGCCTACCATTTCCCTCATTCTACGTGAATGCAGCATAAATGGTTGAAATAGTGATCTAAAACAAACGGTAATACTTAGCTAGAATAAGAATAATGGACAAATGCTAAAAAAGCTAAAAGAAATGGTTAGAGTTCTGCTAGTTAGCTAAAAGAAGTGGCAAATTGGTTGGAATAGCTAACACTAATGTTATAAACTGTTCAAAAAGTTAAATGTGGTAACGGATAAACAGCTGAAATAGCTAGCTAAAAGTAATACAGTAGAAATAGTTGGCTTAAGGAACAGCGGCCAGTGGTTGAAATAATAATAATGTAATAATGAATGGTTTAACTAGTTAGCTAAAACAAATTAGAAAACAGTTTTTTAGCTAGCATAAAAATTAGCTAGCATAAAAATAACATGCTAAAGCTAAAACAAAATTACTCAGTTAAAAAGTAAACAGTTATTGGCTGTCAATGGACAAACAGTTGAAATAGTTAGCTAAAAGTAATGGATATAGCTATAAATTGTAGTCATGACTTAACAATTGAAATAGTTAGGTAAAAGTAATGGATGAACAGTTGAAATAGTTAGCCATAAGTAATTATAAAATAATTAAAATAGCTAGCTAAAAGTAATGGATATGGCTGAAAATTGTTAGCTGAAAGTAATGACTGAACAATTGAAATAGTTAAAAGTAATGGTAAAACAATTAAAATAGCTAGCTAAAAGTAAAGGATATATGGTTGAAATGTTGAACTTCTGCCACTTTAAGATGAAGCAATACAACTATAAACATTGACAATTTAACTGTATGACAACGTTTCTATAATAATACACACTTATATAATCAATAGTGTTAGTAACATCCAGCTTATGATAAATTCAAGGAAACACATTTGAAACATGATGGATTGTGTTGATACTTGAGTTCATCGGACAGGTTTGTGGGGGGGTACATCAGACAAAAAGGTTTGAGAACCACTGTACTTGAACACCCAGAATGGCTTTTGTGTTTCTCTAGCTGCTGTAAAAATTACTTTATAACAATGATTGGGTTTATGTTGTATGAATCAAATTTTTACAGCAGTTAAACTTTATATAATATCTATGGATGCATTTATGAATTTATTTAACTGAGTAAACAAGTAGAACCACTTGGACGTTGCTTATGTGAAATGTTTAAGAAAGAAATGAGAAACAAACAGATTTGAATCAGTGAGGGAAGTTAGCAGAGAGAATCCTTCGGTATCAGCTTCACATGTCCTTTGACATCAACCGGATCCTTTGTTCAAAGCAAGGCAATGTATTTTTCTTCTGTAAGGGCGCTTCACTCTTTTACATAAATAAACATTTCAGTAAATACTTTCAGATTAAGTTACTACCAAAAGGGTCATTGGTATAGTCTGTACAAGGAATGATTATTATGTGTGTTTAAATTGAAATGATTTAAATGTACCCATAGTTTTAACTGTATNTATATGAAAATGATGATTTACACATACTGTGCATGAAGTCAGTGCCTAAATGTTAGTTAGTGCTTGGTTATGTCAGTCAGGAAACAGTAGATGCAGTGCTTCATTATACCCTACAGAGGGCGATGTAGGTTAGGATTTCTGTCAGTTTATGGCACCATAGTGTGTCTAAAATGGCTGCATTACAAAAAGACATAAAAACCTAAATATCCTAAAAAAGAACAAAGAGATTTAAGCCTTTATAGATTGTCAGTGCCAACTCAGAAAAATTGCACTACAGCTATATTTTCAAGAAAAAGACTGCTTTGACTTGCAGTTGCACGTTTGAGCATCTGTAACCAGTATGACGGAGCACATCCAAAGGCAAGACAGCTCGGACGAAGAGTTACAATCCTGGGTGAGATGAACACACTGCAAAGTTACTGACATTACCAACCTCTATTGTAACAACTGATAAAACTTTATTTGTTTAGAATGCCTTAGATAGTCTTAAGGAAATACTACGCAGTAAAATGTACTATATTTCTATATTGAATAGAAACAAAAATACTTACACTTAAAATCTACACTTTATCTATCCATTTATATATATTTAATTTGTAATATATTTACTTTATAATACAAATTATAATCAGAATTACAGAAGTAATAATATAAAGTCTATCAAACATGGAAGCTTTAAAAAAAATGAAGACATAAAAAGGCTTTTGGCCTGTTCGCAAGCAGTGTTTAAAACTGAAGGTTTGGTATCTGTGTGTTCATGTGTGTGTGTGTGTGTGTGTATAGTCAGCAGGTGTACTGTTACGCAAGGGACGTGTAGGAGCAACAGAGGGGAAACGGAGGAGTCTGAAGTGGATCTGAGAGCTGAAGGGTGAGGGAGATCACAGAGCCGTCTCTTTCAGGTCGTTGAGGTTTGGCATACGTGACCTGGAGGGGCGTCCGAAGCCATGCCCGTTCTGGCCTCCCTTGATGCTCA